TGATCTCGATCTCACGGTCCACGACGTCGGAAATCGTGCGCCGGGCCAGTCTTTAGCTAATCACGGTACATCGCCAGGTATCAACGGCTAACCGGGACACAGGATCCGCGGTGGAAACTTCGCCCACGGTCTTCAACACCGGAGGGGATACGAATAGTCTGTTCCCAGGTGAAGGTAATCATATTCCGCGTTCCACGGTAATGGTGAACGAACGCAGCCTCCGGGCTCTAACGGAACCTCTGGCACCAGCACCCCATTTCATCGGGACCTGTGGGTGCACCTACCTGCACCTTATACTCAAGCCAAACTCCTATGTTACCGCAATTATCGCGCGAACAGCTGTTATCCCGGTATAGGCTAGATGGTTCCCTGATCGTTATCAGCCTGTTGTTTCTAACTGCGGTTTTTAACTATCCCGTACGTGCCCCATCGATCTGCTAATAAATTCCACGGTTAGGCTGCGGCTACAGTTTTGGATAGTTCGTGCATCCTACGAGGACAAATTTTGTAACGAACAATTTTATCGCGGTTAGCCCTCGATTTACACTTTTGGATGGTCTATGGATCATAGGGTCAAATTTTTAACAGAATAACGAAGAATTTGATTTTTCTATATAACTATCTTCTACATTTATATCCAATTTCTGGAAATAGTGCATTTACGAAGAGAAAAATGATTTTGTCAGGTTTTCGAAATATTCGCCAAGAACAATTTTTTATTTATCGTCTGAAAGAGGCCTTTCGCCCTAAGATTCTTTCTCCGAATTCTGAACGGAAAGAAATCGCAAGGTAATAAATGTCGGTTGTAAGGTGAATGTCGGAGCTTTGTGAATATGTATTCTTGAATGGTTTGAACTGCTCCAGTTTCGTTTTTTGGGCGCACAAAGATCGCACAGATACGCCTATACTAATATCACAGCGACATGACAACGAAGCAATTATCTTTTTATCCTTCCAACGTGTCATTTTCATAGCTAAGCAGATCAAAGGAAAATTTGCCCTACGATAGAAATTTAAAAACACACGAATCTTCCAATTTAAGAAACCTCTGTCAGCTAATCGTAATCACGAAGGAACAATATGACTATACCAAACTTTTATATTAATAACTACATACCAAGTGGAAATTAATTTCCATTTCAAATTTTTTTCTTTTTTTCTTTTTTCGAAATTACACACGATCTCTATCGAGACGACTCGCTCGTCATTCTGGCTCGGCTGTCAGCCACTGGTCCGGATCCGTATCGCTTGGTGAAATCGGCCTTTAGGTTGCAGCACGGCCGTATCGAGAGCGCAAGTGAAATTAGTCGCGGTTCGACGAGCCGCTGCCACAACCAGGTCCTACAAGAAGGAAAGTAACGCGACTCGCGACGAATCAGGGTGAATCGACGCGGATGCCGATCGCGAAGAAAGGGAAACACGCGGAGCGGGAAAAAGTGGGACCACGGGGGAGTGAAAGAGTAGACGGGACGTCGCGCGTTCAAACGAGGCGCGCTCTACCATTTTCATTCACGACGTGTCACCGCGTGGGTGTGTCGTTTCTAGCTTGTCAGCGTAACGGCGTCTCTGCGTTCGCGTCTCTGTTAACGACAATACGCGCACGACGCCGATAATAGGACAATGGGACGTGAATTCATTGAATTTCGATGGAAATAGGCGCACGGCAGAAACTGGCGGCCCTTTTAATTGCCGAATTTTCTGTGACACCGTGTACGTGACGTCGCGCCGCCGTCAAACGCTTGTCTTTGAGAGTCTGTGCCGCGGAATAATGGAGATTGTTAGGAAAATTTCTATCACCACCCTGTTTCATGAATATTCGATCGTGGATTGGAAAATTTATAAATCAGTCTTGTACCATCTTGTCATGTCTATTCGAAAACTACGACGAACTAGTGGGAATTTCTGTGGAATCTTGTTTTCACTGGTACTCGATCGTATAATAAATTAAATGGTTTCTTTAAATCTTTACTCCAAAACTATGATCCAAATCTAGTTACCACCATTCCAAAATTGCCTTCACTTTCATTTGCATAAGTAACAAATAAATTACTCCTAACAGACTTTCGTTACTAAATCTTCCCCTTATCTCTTGCTCCAAAAATGACGGAGTATCAGAGAAATTCTGGCATTCTTACTCGAATGTTCGAGCAACGAGACCATCCTTAGATGACGAGCTGCAAAATCTTGACCCTGTCATATCTCCACGTAGCAAAGCTTTGGTATTTTTCGCCGGCGAATACTTCGGCCAGGCATCGAGGTGTGCGCGCGCTCGTCAATGCACGTTCATATCCATTCACCGAATTCCTCGGTTCAATGGGCCGTATCCTGAATACGCAATGATACGCAGGTTTTGCCGCCTCTAACCTGGCTGCGACTGTCTAGCTTCTTGGCTCACACGGTGCAAAAACACTAGAAGAAATCCATCCAGCATCGCAAGATTCATTACGATACTCGCAAGACGTAATTTACAACGTCCTTAACGAGCAGGCGCGAGCTTAGGTGTCACGAGTCTCGTTTCTTCTTCTTCTCTCTCTCTCTCTCTCTCTTTCTTTCTCTCTTCATCTTTCGATCAACAATGAAATGCAGGTGGAGGAAGTACGAAGACGACGAGAAAAGATGAAGTCGACGAGGTAGAAGAGAAACTACCCACGCTCTTTTATCTCGTTGGCCCTTTGTATTAAGCCGCTGTCGCAACTGGTATGCGCCGGCTTCACCAAAGTCCACCTTCTCTTCCTGTCGATTCTTCTTTTTTTCTTCCACGACCCTTCGACTTCGTCCTTCCCTCTCGATATCTCGCTCTTTGACACCGGCTAGACCCATAAACCGCGTGATTCAGTCTGGAATCTCGTAGTAAATGTCTATTTTCATATATACACTGTGATTATGAAAATAAGGTCCTAGTAGTGTGTTATTGATTACGCGATACACCAAACATCGACACGAAATTGAGATTGAAAATAAGGTTGATGTACATAGGTCGTTGAACTTGCCTCGATAACCTCGTTCATATAGATAATCGCTCGTAGTATCGTCATTATGCGAAAACCATTGCAAACTTAAAAAATCTCTAAAGGCCATCGTATTGTGCATAAAAAATAACGAAACTTTGTCCTCTTCTATTTTCCTCACAGATTTATCATTTACGAGAAAAACGTTGGAAACTTTTAGTGCGAGCACCCAGTATATTTTTACTCGAAATGTATGTACGTACTTTATGCACGAAAGTAAGGAGTGTCCTCATACTCCAGGCGACTCTTATTGCTCGATCGTTCCGCATCTCTGAAATTTGAAAATCTTCAGGATTTCGACAATTTTCACACTCGAATGTATTGTCATTCAGTCCCAATTGACAAACGTAAAACATTTTCTAACGCTTTCATTTACGATCTCGTGATATTTCTTCCACCAGCTATACATCCATTAATACGAACGCGACCGTGGACTTGCTAAGTGTAACAAGTCATTGTAAGCTTTCCTCCATTGAATGTTAAGGTCGCGTTTATCCTGTCACGTGGGATTCTAGTACAACTATCAACCGGTGACAGCTGGGCGTGCGGTAACTACGGCTGGAACCGAGCCAATCGCATACCTTCGCACTTTGACCGGCTAGTTCTCGCGATACTCCGACGTGGTATGCAGATCAGCGCGTATTTCGGTGTCAGACAGGACGTGAAAATGCACGAATGAAACTCCAGTCATCCCTGCGTATACATGGGGTAGAATAAATTTACGAGGCATGTGTGTACTCGTTTCCGGTTGATGATGAGAAACTTCTCTCGAAATTGAACCCTTTGCACTCGGACATTTTCTCAGGTAAATCTTGCAGCAACTCGGACATTTTTCGGCTTGTAATATGTAATAAAGTATTTATTTAAAGGCAAAAATTGCATTGTTTTATGTTCTTTATTTCTGGTTGAGAGGCACACTTCGAGTGCAAAGGGTTAAGAGTGAACTATAAAAATTGTTGAAATTCTTAGATTTTCTGCCATTATCTTCTTAGTTTTCTATCGATTCGCTTGTCGATATGGTTAAATATGCAAGCATTGACGTTTGACCGATTTTACAATCTCGTTATATTTTTCCCACCGACTATACATAATCAAACGATGTCCTCCAGTGTGTGTCTACGGAGATCACACGTAATGAACATTCTTAGAGAAATACAGAATCGTCTTGGTCTTCTTGATTGAGAGTAATTGAAGAATTTTAGAATTTCATTTTCACTACTAAATTATACAATTGTAAAAAACAATGACGATAATTACAGGCTATCAGTTTAAAGCCATGCTTTTTAACGTTGTAAATATTTCGCGATATGATATCGTAATAGCCCTGCTTTGCATGTAAAATAACATGTTAATCATTTTGTATACGTTTTATCTAAACGCAAATACACTGATTAGTTAAAATGTTTTCCAAAGTCAATTAAATTTCTATTTTAACTCTTCAGGTACGGTGACACAACTGTTTTACATATTTCTTTGAAATTGAAACAAAATGATCTTCATAAAAATCCTAAAAAGAATACAGGGAAAGGACAATTCTTTCATGTCAATTCTACCTAACACGTTCCGTGGAAAAACACGAGTTTAGGCAGAATCTAAGAACGAAGTTAAAAAGCCTAATGTTTGTTTTTGTAGGATTTTTCTGTTTAAATAAAAATATTCCTGTAAACAAAAAAGTAGTAATTATATTCCCTTTTTGTTAAAAATGTAAAATATAAGATACGAAGAGAAAAAGAAAAACCAGATTTAATTGGTTCGTACTCAGCTTCTATACTTGAAAACGTTAAAAAGAAGAAACGAGCAATGAAGTGCCTATTGAAATCATCAAAATATTATTATAAAATGATAAATTCCTTGGAATGGTTTCAAACTGGGTAATCTGTACTGTAATACGATTTGTACAAGAGATGAGAAAGATTGGAGCTCGAGAAGTGGAGTAAAGACGACTAACAGTAAGTTTTTCGTGGTTTCAGGAAACGGAAGAAGAGTGCCGACATGTCGGCCTTGAGCACCGGGCCTTGTCGACCCGGGATTATATTCTGTCTGGCTGTTCTACTGGCATCGCAAACCAATTCTGGTGAGTTTTCGAGCGAATCCGGCGAGAAACTTTTTTCATAAAAGGAACTCGTTCGTTCCGCGAGACTTTTATCTTCTCCTTCGTCTTGCTTGAACGCGCCTCAACTTGGTACGTGTACACGCTCGACGCGTCGAAACGTAACTCATTTGCCGGCGAACAAGTGTACGTGAGACGACATGAAAAAGAAGTCCCGACAAGGAAGAACTCGATGTTCTTTTTTTTTTTTTTCGACCAGATTTTTCATTCTCCACGCGTTCGCCAGGGGAGAAAAAAGAGGGGAGAAAAAGTATCGGTACTATAATTTCGATTGCTGCGACAAGCAGAGTTTCCGGCTTAACAGTGTGCTAACACTACTGCGATTTCGTATTTTCTGTTACCGCGAGACTTCGTGCGTATTGAAATTTTTAAGTGCATAAATGTAGCGAGGGAAGATTCTTCAGAAATCGAAACAAAATGATTTTGACGAAAATCAGCGATATTAAAAAGTAATCACATTGAAAAAATGCAGAGGAAGAACAATTTTACTTAACACTTTTCATGGGAAAATACTTGATTAGGCAGAATTTTCAAACGTTATATTAAAATATTTCATTACAAAAAAAGTGTCGATAGTGTTTAATTTTTGTCACTTTAACTTACTTTTGTGCATACTTTATTGTAGTCCTTGAGTCCAAAAGTATTCTTTTTCGCTTAATGGAAGTTCTTTAAATTTTCAAATACACAAACAACAGTGAACAATATTTTTTTTAAAATTGAAACGAAATGATCTTCACAAAAATCCCATAAAAATCAGCAATATCAAAAAATAATCACACAGAAATGTCACTTTTACTGAACACGTTCAGTGCCGCAGAAATAACAAAAATGTTGATTTCAAATACATAAACAGTGGTGAACAATATTTAAAAAATATTGTATAATAATTGTATAAATAATTTTTTTTTAATCGAAACAAAATGATCTTCACAGAAATTTCACAAAAATCAGCAACGAACATACCTCGAGAAAAAAACGAATTTCAACAAGATTACACAGAACCCGTTAACATCAAACCTAGCCACAAACCAATTAACGAACGGTGTTAATTCTCGATGGATGATCGACACCTGTCGAATTCATCCTCGATCCTCTTTTTTTTTCCAAAACAATCACTCTCCGACCAACGAAACCGCTCAATGTCTGAATGAAGAAGCTAGACACACTCTGTCAGGACGTCGAACCTATCTTTGTCCTTCCTTTCCCTTCGCTCAGAGAGAATAGTCTTACCTCATAATGCTCACCTCTGGCATCGGCCACGTCGACGAGGCCCAAGGTGCTTTCCCATGGACCTGGCACACCATATTCGTTCTTCGGCGGCACTCAGGTCGTCCCGGAGCAGCCGTCTTCTCCATCACGAGGCACGCTCTTCGAGGTGGTATCCTATAGGCATCTTCCGTTTACGTAGAGCCGGTTTCGAATTACGTACGCGACTATTCCAGCCGGTGGCTGTTCACGAGCAACGATCGATCGAACGCGGCCGACTGACAGATTCGATCGGGACCGATTAGTCATCTCTCTCTTCTCCCTCAGTGGCCACGGCCGCGTCGTTGCATTGGAAATCGTTCGAAAAGGCCGGGAGACCACTTTCACCTGCATCACGATTGCGTCACGCGAAACTCGAGGTCAAGTTCGTGGGAAACCGACCACGGTGATCGTCGACGCTCCTTGCCCTTGTGTCTTGAACTTCGAACCATCCCTGAGAAGCATTTTTTTTTTTTTTTCAACCACAGAGACGTGAAATTAAACATATTCAATTTTTCGTATTTATTCTTCGAAGTGTGACAATTAAGTTTCGAGAATGGTTCGTGTGAAAATTTTATTTTGTATCTAGGTCACGGTTCAAATTTCTCTTTTTTAACGGAATCATGTCAAAATGATGTTTCCCGCAAATATACGTATCTACGTCCAAGGAAAACCGAATTTTGATATACGTATGTATATTTAAGGAAACCATAATTTCGACACGATTTTGTTTAAAAAGAAATTTAAGTAGCGACTTGAACTCGTGGTCATGCTAATTATCATTATTTTTATTTCAATTTTTTGTAACATTAATGTCACCACAGAGCTCACTATACTTATTAACTTGGATCCCTACATTCGTGTTAGTATTTCAGGGTTAATTTTCCACTGGAACTTCTCGTCTAAATCTGTCGTTCGTACAATTACAACCATCGATACATTAACCAGCAGCTTCTGTTACGTGAGACGAAAGGTGAGAACAGGGATAAACGGGAAAAATCCGAGTGTCCGTAATTGCTTCCTGGATCTTAGTCATCCCCCTCATGATCTATCAACGCCACAGAGCGCGGAATCGATCCTGTTTCTCGACGCAGCGCGCAACCACGGAGGATCATTCTCGGAACAGCGTGTTACCTCGAACGCAGCGACGTGCAAAAACGTTGCATCGTCAATGAGAACTCATTGAAGATGCAACGTTTTTGCTTCGAGTTCCCCTCTACTCCGCCTCTCTCTCACTATCTCTCTCTCTTTCTCTCTATACCGACAATTGGCTGGTTCGACGAACAGCAGGTGTGGACAAATGGCTCGATAGAGAACGATTGAATTCTTCGAGTCTCCTCCGATGTGCAACGTTTTCTCTCTCTTCCTCCCCCCTTTCCCATCTATCCTTCCTTTTTTCAACTAGATCACTGGGTGATCCTGTCCCTCGTGAACGCCTATCTTCCCTGTTTTTGCAACAGCTTCCCTTTCGTGCCGGAGAGGCAGCCATCAAGATCGACGCGGCGCGGCCGATCTATCGGCTTTGGTTCTTCTTCTTCTTCGTGGCGATCGGCGCGTTTGAGAGACGTTTGCATTTCGAAGAAAGGATCGATATTCTCGACGTATCGCCGTCTCCTCGGAACGAGAGATGTCCAACAATGACAAAAAGCCGGCAGTTTCGTTAAATTCACCTGGCACGTTAGGCCTCGAGGATTTCTTCTCTGGCGGGCAATTTCGTTGAAATTATTCCCGGTGTTCAACGGGAGAACAAGATCAATGGTCTCGCGTGATGGAACGTTTCATACTCTTCTGTTCTCTTCTTTCTTTCTGTTTTTTTTTTTTTTTGCACTTTATCGTGGAATTTCAAATTGTCTGTAATTCGACTCGATTATCAATCTTCAAACGACACCGTTGATCGATCGAGGTTGGAAAAAGGTTGACAGAAAAGTGATATCCATCGGTGTAACCTGAAATGAGATTTCGAAATCCTTGGAGAGGAAGTGATTTAAGGAAAGAGAAGGAGGAGATGAAGAAAAAAATGCGTGTCGTTGGTACACAGCTGCACGAATAGCGGTTCCTGTACTTGCCTGCATCCACGTGATGCTGTGAATTCTGGTCAAACCTGTAGGCCCTGAGGAGACGGCTCCACGTTCATGTCACTGACCGCTTGTTTCACCGTTGCCCACTTACGGTCCACGTCGTCGCACCTGACCCTCCGGCCGTTCCATATTTATGCTTTAATGCCGGCCAAAGTGTCGTTATCTTCGAGTATCATTGAGCTGTCCCTGCCTTGATGCCACTCGACCGTTCCTTCGATGCTTCCTGAAAATATTACCGAATAAGTTACAACACGATTCTCCGTGGAATTTTCTATCGAACGAAAGCGTACATTTTCTACCTGGTAGCACTAAATTTCTAGGATAAAGTTACTTAATGTTAGGTAGTGTTCGATGTTGCCCAATCTCAGACCCAGAGAAAATTAAATTTGAAAAAAGATAAAAACCATTTTCATTTATTTGGGCGAACGAACTTCACAGAAAATAAACGAAGGCTTTTGATGTCTTTTATTTTTCAAATTTTAAGGACGAAAAGATATATACTTGCCTTTATTATTACGTAAGATAAATGAACGACCCGTTTTCCACTTTAAATGGCACAACTCGAAAAATGTAAATTATACACGAGAATCAGTTTAAAATTTGCATTTGACTAACAGCTGGATCCTGATCGCATAATCTGATCTGCTCTCTGGTGTGAAATTAAGGAATAAACAGCGGATGTTTATGCAATTACAAGAAAATATGTAAAATACATGGGAATAACGTTAGAATCTCTCGAGGCACGTAAATAAGAACACTAATCCATAGATAAACGTAATACATAATACAGTCACTGAGATAGTAACGTTGCTCTCACGTGATTTGCATACTTTGATATGTTATAATTGCACAGATATCCGCAGTCCACTAATGAAGTTAGAAATATTCCGTTATGCACGATATGAACACTGTAATTCTACACTTTATTCAAAAGAAATCGAAATTGACATTTTTTGAGCCATAAGCACTCTTTCTTTTTTATTCGTGCATATACATAATTTCTATGAAAATCTCAGCGACCTTCAGCAAATACTGAGAGTATTCTCCCTCCAAAGGGCCTCAATGTTCTGCAATAAAATCTAATTTCCCTTGATATATTTACTCCGAGTCATCGTCTGGAATAACAAAGCAGCAGTCGCTGTGACGTTAAAACTGAGATAATAAAAAAGAAAAAGAAAAACCATTCACACGTACACAATAATAACAGGCAAACAATGAACCGTACACGTTCTCCTCGATATTCTTAATTAAAACTCGGCTAATTTCAAACATCTTGCAGCGTACATTTGCAGTGCAAATAACGCGTCGCTATCAAATCACACTTGAACAAACAGGCTCGGTTTATTTGCCTTTGCGGAGGGTTTCTCTCGCGGCACCTGCTCGAGGATATACCCATCGTTCCTCGTTATAATTAATTGTCGCTTCAAGTCTCGGCTGTTGAATCTCTGACGCGTCGAATGACGACGTCTGGTGGCGGTTCGCCAGGCGAATTCGGACGGCACTTAAAATTCGGGACGTGTAGAGGTGCGGTTGAGTAAACGTAGCGGTCAACCGCCATTAACAAAGGTACACGCACCGCGTCGCGCTTCTGCAAACACTCCCGCATAATTAGTTGGTTTTCCTAACGCTTTATTTTCCTTC